GAAAGAGAGCCCTGGGGAAAAAGATTAGTGAAGAATGATGGTAAAGGATAAAATTAAAGTAGACAGTGAAAGAAAATAAAAAGCACATATGTTTTCAGGAAGGATTAAGGACAGTATTTACGGGAGAAAAGGCAACTTTCTAAAAAGCAGAAATTTCAAAACAGAGTGGTTTGGAGACTTGTGTCTGACAGCGCAGACTTTAAAGGTAACCAAATAGCATCTTCTGAGAGAGTTACCCTGGCCATTTTTTGCCAAAATAATTTTCTACACTAAAATGTTTCAAAGGAAGAAAATAAAATGGAGCTTATACAGTGGAAGAGTTGCAACCTCAGTCTTGAGGAGGCTTTAACTTTTCCACAATGTATCTGCACCTTACCATTATGCTGTATTTTGAAAGTACAACTGTGACATTTTATAGTATGTGAATATCTACAGCTTAAGACTGCAGAGGTACTGTGGCCCTCATTTCATTCTCAGGTAAACATCACGAAATGTCATCTCCTATTTCTGTTCAGAATATACATAATATTTTGAAGTAGCTGAAATGAACAATATTTGTTTTGCAGTGACTCATACTTGCACCATTATAAAGACTTTCTTATACATCCTGTATCTACAGACATGGTTGAATGGTAAGACTGTATTGGCTTGTGGTCCTAAAGCCTCTATAATGCATCCCAAATGCACAGGATACTCACACATATCCAGTTATACACTTGAATCTGATTTAGCAAAGCTGACACACCAGTCTCACAAAAGCATTATTTGCCTTTTGAATGCTGCACCTGAAAAACCTTGCATGTGGCATTCATTCCAGTAAATAAGTAGTAAATAATAAGTAAAGAAAATACATCTGATATCCCAGGATCAGATAGAGGTATGTGAAAAACTGCCTGAAGTTGAAACTGCTACTCAAACCATATCTTCTGATCTTCGCCTCTGAACAGATACACAAAAGCTGGGACTACCATAGCCCCGAACTAAACAGACCTAAATCCACTGGAAACAGTTGGCCTATGCAGTGGACCTCATTAACATGGAAGACCTAAATTTGGTCCAGGGTACCAAAACTCTCTGATTTGGTTCCCCAACCAATACATACCTAGGAGGAGACCTCTGCCTCTAACAGGAAAAATTATTTTGCATGGCAGCTGCTACTAACCCTCTAGATACATACTGTTCTATTCACTTCATTTTACTTCTTGGGCTGACAGACAGAACTGAACCCTAAGTTTTATAGTAAGGTAGGATTATGTTTTCCTAATTCCTACATAAAATAAACAGCATGTTACTATTTTGTAAAAACAAAACCTCATAAACTTTTGTCCTGGCAATTTTGTCACTTGAAACATATTACAAACATCCAGTTAAAATATACTGACAACTATTCTACCACTTCAAGGGGAACCAAGACCAAGAGCTTCCCTGGGATAAAAATTGTTAATATTACAATGTATTCCTGAGAGGACTGCAACGTACAACTAGGATGAAGTGAATTTACTATTTATTTAATCATTTTAAAATGTCATAGTACGTGAAATTCACAAAAAAGAAAACACTGATGCTTGTAGGAAGAGACTGCATCAGAAGTAATGCTTCACTTTTGATTATTACAGGTAAGTGTTGGTCAGGAGATAAAATGAAGGAAATAATGGTCTTCAAATATTGTGATTGATTTTACAAAAATAACCTGTATTTCAGGAAAGTACAATGGAAAACTAGCTCTTGATAAGCTGAAGCACAAAAATTCCTTTGAACATGGTTTTTCTTACAAAGAGAAAACAGAAAACCACATTTGTGTCACAGAAGTGTTTTTTCCTGCCTATGACAAGATTTTATTTCTTCAGAAAAGGTGGATTTTTTTCCTGAAGTTGACTTGATTGTACTTCTTTTTTCAAAAATTGTTTCAGATATACTTAACTCAATCCATGTTTAAAAGATGCATTTAGTCTACATAAACTGTTGAAATACTGGAAGATGGAAAACGAGATGTTTAAGAAAAAAGCAAAAAAAAAAAAAAAGCTAGTCACAACTGCTACTCCATGATAAAAAAATTTCTGATAATTTTTGTTAAAAAGTAAAATTCCAGCCTGCAAGTCAAATTCGGCTACCAGCAACTTTTCATCACTTCTACGAGGAATATCCTCTTGACTTTTGCTCTATTCACTCCAGTCCTTTACTTTACTTTTCCGTGTTTCATCAGTTCTCAGTATAAATTGCAGAATCAGTTTTACAAGCTTTCAAGAGCTGCTGCAAATTTTTATTGTTTTTAATTAAAAGGCTAATTGAAGCTCTTTAAGTTTTTCCTAAGATACTTTGTAAGTAGTGTGCTATTTTTTTTTTTTTCCTCCATGGCAAAATGGGAAAACAAGACTGTGGACACTTATCAAGTTTTATGCATCTCTGTCAGTAAAGTTGACATGTGAGTTGTTGCCAAGCAAGGGGGTAATAAGAGATAAGATCATAATTATTGTGCACTTTACTGATATGCTGTAATCACACGTGGCAGATTTAGGATGTTCAGAAGGAACTGTGCTAGAATCTCTAAGCAAGCAGTAATGGAAAGGTTAATATGACGGTAGTTAGCAGACACCAGCAAAAGCAGTTTGTCACTAGAACTGAATTTAAACCAGGCACATTCAAAGTCTTTAGCTCAAGGGGGCAATAAAAATATAGAATGGGTAGACTTAATACGCTACTTCCTTTCTTTTTCAGTGTCTAGCTACCACAGGGTACCAATAATTTGTTATGCTTCATATTATATTTGGAGGCATCTGTGAAATTCATTCATTTGATAGAATAAACTCGAAGTGTATTTTATGCTAACAACACAGATTATACAAATGAAAATTGACAGCGATAAAAAGTCTTGATTTCTACAAAGCAGCCACATGAATTTGGGAAACATAAAATGAAATGGGACAGCCCACAGTTTGATATCCAAAGCACTGATGGCATTGATGTACCTGCTGGTGTATGGTTCTAAAGAAATCTAAATTGTACAACGAAAGCTGCCAGTCTTTCCCTCTTTTTTAATGTGCAACCATCCACATACAAAAGTGGCATGTTCTTAAAGCAAAGCGGTTTGAATTGCCCGGCTTCTATTATTTATGCAAAATAGGTGTTGAGCAGTCAAACTCCTATCTATTCTTTTACACTGCAAACAAATCAATTAAGGTGGGTCTTATTCTAGTGAAAAAGCAAGTAAAAGGATTGAAGTGTGTTCAGTTCTGCAATTTAGATTTCAGTAAGATCACTTACTATCTGCAAAATTAGCACAACCATTGTCACGTTAATTACAGTACTTAAAACCTGCCTATTTGAATTCAGCATTAGAGACCAATAGCTGATAACTCTCTAGATTAAGTTATCCGAATTTAGCCAATGGGAGATACTATTCAAATAAATACCTCAAGAAGACGAAATGAAAAGCTCTGAAAATAGCTGTAAAACCAACAGTGTTTACCTCAAGGAAGCAGAGGATCATACATTTTTAGAGCTCAGATGGAAAACACCAACTCGAATATATTTTGACACGCAAATTCCACACTACTGCTTCGAAAAGAAGCTGTTTGTAGAGGCATGGTTTACGTTAATCAGTACCTAACAATTTTATACACAACCTTTCTAAAATTCATTTGCATAATGCTAATCTGCATATGGCAGGGGTTTAAATTCTTTAAGCGGTGTTATATTTCACCATTTAGTCCTGCTTCACCATTGCTTTAGCAGCGAATCCTTGCGGAGTGTAATGCAGCTAATGAGGCAGCTTTTTAACTGAGCAAACTGACAGGTCCCATATCTGCAGAGGCAGCTTGAAACCGTGCCCAACCTCTCGGCTTCCCAAGAGGCTTTTCAAAATTCAATAAATAACATCTGTAGGCGATGTTGGGTGCAGACCTAGCAGAGTGCGTCATAACACTGAGCTGGCAGAACAAAGAAACCATGACGACTGCCAAGTTTCCATGGCAACCGCTGCGAGGCTTGGAGAGTATAATAGCACATCAATCATTGTCCAAAAGAACTTCATTATCAGCAAGAAAAAAAACCTTTAGGATCTGTTTAGTGTGAAATTGTGGGTTAACTCACCTCAAAGCCTTGCTCTCTAGCAAAAGTGGCAGCTTCCTGAAATAATAAAAAAGGAACAGTTAATTATGAAGTGCTAGATAATGAAGAAATAACACATTCTGAAACTCATTCAGCCAGTTTTCCATTATTATCTCAATATGCCCATATACAGTTGTTCAATTCTGATAGCCGCACCAAAAGCTTCCCCCTCCTTCCCTCAAGCCCAACAACAATACAATGTCAACACACTTCACAAGTTCAAATAAAGATGGTACAACATGTTTTTTCCAGGCAAGGAAAGTTACTTTTGGAGACAGGACTTCAACTAGGAAACCACTAGGTTCAAATCCAGACAAACATCCTCCAGACATATTTTTAATTGTAATTGTATCATATCTCTATTTATGTATGGCACTTTATGGTACACAAGCCACTTAAAAAAATAATTTGTCATCTATGCTGCATTAAAAAAATAGGATCACAAAATGTGCTCAAACCCTCGTGGTGGAATCAGATGGACATTTTAAAATACTCTGATGTCTTAATCACTGCTTTAGGCAATTTAACTATGTTATTTTCCTGAAAGAACAGAGAAAACATCAAGGTATCAGAATGTCCTCATTTCTTATTTATATTAATTGAAGGAATTAAAATCTGTTTTGAAATAAAATCAAGGAGATAGAAGACAACAGCAATATTTTTCCCTTACTCACTTTCTACCTCAACATTGCAAATATTGCAGCAAACCACCAAAATATATTTTAACTTGTATTCTTCCAGATTATATTTGCCAAGTGATATTAACAGAGAGATAAACCTTGAGCCAAAATGATCAGTTGATCCAACCAAACAAAACTAACTACCATACTAAACCACTTAAGTCCAGTGTCCCTATGACAGCTTTTAGTGCTGCAGAAAATATATACCTGTGGACCCATATGATCTGCCAATTTGGGGGCAATATAAGAATTTGAAGTAGGTACAATTGATTATTACAACAGTAAGTTGAGGTTAATAAGACGTGATAAGCTGAAAAGCACAACTCCTCAGGCTGCTTCACTGCAGAAACATAAGGCTGACCGGGTTAGCCTTAGCTGATGTTGACAGAAAAACTGAATCATGGTCCTGACAATTGGGTGCAGGCAAGGTTAGCCACTTTGACAATTTACTTACAATTGAATTCCTTCTTGTACATCACACAGTCAATGACATTTGCTAGCCTGGCTGTCAAGGAGGAGTGTAGGGTTCAAAGATACCATGCAGTGTTTTCCTAAACCAGCATGTGATTAACAAAGCCTATGCTTGTATGAAAAAAGGAGCCTGCAAGTTTCCACTCCAAAGTGATGCACTTACAGTGAACTGCAACACAATCAAGAAAGCCTCAAATGGGACCGGGACACAGAAAAAAAACCCAAAAATAAGAGAAATAAGGGAGTGATAAGGGGGCAGACAATAAGAAAATGGAGCAAAAATTACATACGGTAGCCAAATGACTTCTTTAACCTCAGGTTTTTGGTCGTGGAATTGAACTTGGAAGTTACACTGATCTGTCCTAAGGGGATTTCTTTAATGTCCCAATACAGCAGGACATTAACATCTGTGTTAAACTATTGTTTGGCCAGGAAACTGGACACCAGTACATTCTTACATCTGTGAAATAAAAACTAGTCCAGCTAAGTAGTGTTTCCGTATGTGGGAGACTTTGAGAGAATTCATCTTAATTTTCTGTACTGGGGCACCCGTGCATAACACATGTGGTTTGAAAGACCTGGCCCTTCCACAAGAAAGGACCAATGATTGCACATTTGTTAAAAAGTATCTCCTCTACCAATTTTTCCTGTTACAGTGTCATGTTTTAGCCTGGTCTGCCGCCCACTACGTGAATAATGGTAGCTAGCACACAATCATAGATTTTCCTCCAGTTGACCTCTAATCTAAGGGTGTCTGAATATGCCAAAGAACAACAGCAATCTTAATTTTCTCCCATCAACTGAGCCTCAGAATAACTCCTGAACAGCTTCTTTCAGCAAGGACTATGCCTACAGCCCCCTAAGAATCAGCCCCTATCAGAATAACATCCCTTTAAGAATTAAGGCCCTTCCAGTAAAAAAAAAATATATATATAATAAAGCTTAAAACACACTTTCGGAGACTACAGTTTGGTGTCTGCAAAATGGTGAGAAACGTGAGGCAGTCCCTGAATGCCAGGGACAGTTCAAAGTAAATTAACCAGATGAAAGTGATGAGAACCTTTTAGTATCTATTCACAATAACAGTGAGAACAGGAAACAAGCAGACCCCATCTGTGCAGCCCTAGGGCACCTCATACTGAGCTTCACTACTCTAATAAAGTAGTCAGGTTAAAATCTAAGTGGCTGTAACATGTGGAGACTGCTAGGGTTACAACGGCCAGCCAGGGTGTTCCCTGATGCAGGTGATAATCAGTATGATAATCACTATATTTACAGGCTTTCCATTTTATATCTGACATTGGAAATCATGAAGAAGGAGGGATTAAGGAAATAAACAACCTACACAGAAGCTTTACCGCTGCTCCCCGGAGAATGCAGCATTTTCATTCATGCATGACAGGCAACAACAGCAAAGCAAAACAGCGACAGAAGAGAATTTTCTTAGGAGGCTTCATTTCACATCAGGAGTTCTTTCAGTTTTGCTAAACTTTAGACATTATTAACTCACTCCTCCAACTCAGCATTTTCAGGGCTATTTTCCATTATTGTCTACAACATTTCATAAAACCCTCTCGCCCACCTTTTTACTCTTTCATACTAAATATATTAAAACCTTACAGTCCTTTTTCTATATTAATTTATTTATATAGAATTTATTTCCATACCATCTAAAGTAGAAATAGGATTTGTTACTAGTTATGAAACATTACTTGGCTCATGCAGTTTGGGTGAAAAAAAAATCCCAAGTACAGTCAGGTTGAAAAACACTGTGTGCAGCTTACTTAATGGGAGTAACACAATGTCACCAAAGTTAACACACACCCTCTCTTTGCACAATAGTGAGCAGTTTACACAGGAAAGCAAGATAAATTAAAGAGATAACAATAAAAAAGACAGCTTCCCTTAGTACTGGCCTTGCTGGTATGTTAGAACTCGCTTGCTAGCTGAAAACCATTTCCATTCTTGCATGTATTTTATTGCTGTTGGAGTCTCAGCATTTAGTAAATGGCGCTGTCTATGATCTAAACTGGGGCTAATTGTAACAGGACTTGTTAAAATTCTCAGCCCTTTTATCACCCGAAATACAAACGATTTGTTTATAAGTAAACACAAACATACCCTCCAAACACAGAATTCATTAGCATCCGCATTCCTAGGAGTATTTGTTAGCCTCCTGTGTTAGAAGAATTTCACGATTGTAGAGTTAAGACAGCACAACTTCAATAATGGTACGTTTGGTTTGCCATAATACACAGAAGGCACACTATATATTAAATATTCTTGACACATCCAAATATTTTTTTGTTGGTACCAAGGTTTTCTGATGACTTGATCAAAATATAGCCAAAATGGTAACAAATTGCATGTTCAGTTAAAATTAACTCATGCAGGCCCACAGAAACCTCATGCAGTTGCATTGAACAGCATTTAAAACCACGTATTGCCGAAATTAGCTGACAAAGACTGTTTCAAAAGCACCACCAACAGTACTATCTACAATATACATTTTAACCTTTATACGAAGAAAAGGGGCACTGTAAACTAAATCTGCATTTCATTGCTGAAATCAACATTATCCCATAAAGAAATGATAAAACAGCAGGACAGCAATGATACCCTTGTACACTGAATGCATTTTCCATAATTACATAAGAAAGCAAATGCAGGGGACACTGAAGCTAATCCCTCCCCTGCCATCCTTCTTGGTAGAGGAAACATCTCACAGAATAACCTAAACTCACATATTACAGTATTGCCCTGTGTAGCTCTCTGTAATTCTCTATTTGTCCTAAGAAAAAAAACCAAAAAACAAAACAACAACAACAAAAAAACCCACCCCGAAACAAACCAAAACCCCCTTGGATTTTATGTATTTTTTTTTTTTTTTAATTGGGAGATTATTGACAGGCTTTGAGGGAGTTTTCATTGCAATAACTAACTTCCCGACCTACCCAAAATAAGCCCAAAACAAGCCCTATTCACATTTTCAGGGATAACATCCTCTCCCTCTGTGTAACAAATCTGTGACTCAGTGGGTTCAGCCCAGCACACATACACACACAGCCTGTGAACTGCAAAGAAAGATCCTTGCAGTACAGTGCAGTGCAGAGTGCATAACAACAAAAAGAAATAAAAAAGCAAACTTCAGTGGACTCATTCAATGAGAAACAGTCAATGACTATGTGGACCATCCACTTAGTGCCT